ATCATCATAGAATAAGTACAATGATACAAGTTCAATCTAGTCACAGTGAAATATTAGAAGCTTCAACCGACATCGCTCGACATGACAACGGTCACAGTTACACAAATCCACATGGCCTCTCTGCACATAAACGGAACAAACTGAAAATTACAAAAAAATCACGCGACGTAATACACTTTTGACTCTGTATGAAAAAGGTTACCTTATAATTTCCAAAGAATATGCGGGCCCGATGGTATTCAATTGCGGCTTTTGTTGGTAAATATGAAGTGATTTTAAAATCCTAAGATCGAGAGAATTGCTGCAACGTCCTAATACGGAAAAGTTTCCAATGTTGAAGTGAGTGTCACAACTTAATGTTCTGGAATAGGCGAGGGGTGTGGGTCAGCCAGAATGCTACCTGTACAGTCAGAACTTCCCAAATGCTGCTGCACTCTGCAATGCAAATTACGAAGGGTTGAACCCACTTAAGGTGTTCCACCTGAAGCACAGCAATAGTTATAAATGACTGCAGAGACAAAACATTGGGGAAGCCTGCCTTTTAACTTAAAGAAAGATCCAACAGTAAAAGAGTTTACTAATGTGATTCTATGGAATGACAAAGTGTAGAAACCTTGAAGCAGGTTTGCAAGCTCATTTTTATTTGTACCTACCATTTTCCAAAATATGATGACGCAAAATATTTGTCTAGCGTTATGACCTCATAAACGGTAGGGGAGTTGACATTTTTGCATTCAAGAAGCTCTTTATTATGTTATCAATGATGAAAAATGGAAAGCCGTTTTTTATTCAAAAAATGATCTGAGCCGATCAAGTTCGGCTCAGCTCAGCAAACCACGTAAATGACTGTCCTGACAGTCATTCACGTGGGCTCAACCCAATCAAATAGCCGATCAGGTTGTTTCGAACTTGATCGGCTCAGATCAGTTACGCGCCCTTTAAGATGCGTTAACTATTTCGGAGGCTGTTTCAAGATCACCAGGCATCTATGGCGCCATAATAACGTCATTTAAATTTTGTCAGTCCATTAGCCATGCGACGGTCATAGCCAAGAAAAATAATTGTCGAGTCTTTCATATCTGACATCCGTGAGCACGATTCACAGACTTAACGGCCGTCAAGTAGTTTTCAATCAATACTGTACGACGTACGATGAAATAATCAAACAATGACGCATTGATGAGCACATTAACTAAACAGAGAAGTTGTGTTGTTTAGAGTAGTCTTACCAATTTATTAGTAAACCAGTAGCTATAAGTAAGCTTTTCATCATATCTGATGCGTGATTTTACATATTCGTATGAAGAACATTCTCTTTAAACAATAATCTGTGAACTCCTTGGAGACGATGAAAGATCACAGCTAAATATTTCAAAATGTCCTGGCCACAGCATTTCAGTTTAGACTTAAGCTGCACCATTTTCTTGCTTCATAAAAATACATGCCGCCAAAATCAATAAGCATTTCAAATTCCTCGTGTCGTGTATTTCAGCGCGTATAACTTTGCATGAACGTTGTCTAGCTCCCAAGCATCTCATCCGATACTTTTACAGTAATTATTACTGAGGTGGAAGCTATCAAACAGGGCCTTTATACGAACCCAATGGATGAAATGTGCGGAAGGTTCGCAAAAAAAAACAGTACACAGCACCGCAAACACATTAGTCGCCGCTAACGAAATTATGCTGACACCACGCGCATTCTGGCGAAACGCGCGGTGGCGGCTTTGCCTGTAAGAATTGGTGTTTGCTCATGGCTTGGCAAAGAATGTAACTTGGTAACTGGCTTCATAGCATCAGATTGGTTACAGGGCTGCTGTAGCACTGAGCTGCACGGGACGGCTCCACCATCAAACCCAGTGTCAAACCCGCCATTTTCGACAGACGGTCATCATCGCCGTCAGGAGGGAAAGGAGTTGGTCTGTTGGTCAACCGGAGAGCCACCACTCGACCTGCAGTGCCCTAGTGCAGACCAGGGAGAGACACGGTCGCCGCTCAACCTACGGTAGCCTGGTGCAGACCAGGGGGAGACACGGCCGCCGCTCGAGCTGCCGTGCCCTGGTGCAGACCGGGGGAGACATGGCCGCCGCTCGAGCTGCCGTGCCCTGGTGCAGACCGGAGGACCGGCGGAGACACGGCCGCCGCTCGACCTGCCGGGCCCTGGTGAACGGGGAGACACGGCCGCGCGTCGCCCGCGTACCCTGTGTAGACCCGGAGACACGGCGCCTCTCGACCTGCGGTGACCGGTGAGACAGGCCCCACTCGAGTGACCGGCGGTACAGACGAGGGAGACGGCCGCCGCTCGACCTGCCGTGCCCTGGTGCAGACCGGGGGAGACACGGCCGCCGCTCGAGCTGCCGTGCCCTGGTGCAGACCGAACCGGCGAACCGCCGCCGCGCGACCGCCGGCTGTGAGCCGGGGAGACCCGCCGCCGCTCGAGCTGCCGTGCCCTGGTGCAGACCGGGGGAGACACGGCCGCCACTCGAGCTGCCGTGCCCTGGTGCAGACGGGGGGAGACACGGCCGCCGCTCGAGCTGCCGTGCGCTGGTACAGACCGAGGGAGACACGGCCGCCGCTCGGGCTGCCGTGCCCTGGTGCAGACCGGCGGAGACACGGCCGCCGCTCGAGCTGCCGTGCCCTGGTGCAGACAGGCGAAGGCGCCCGACACCGTCGAGGTCGGGGGTGACAAAGAGACTCCACACTCGGTCGATGCCGCGATAGCTCAAGGGCTTCTTTGAATTGGTCCTCTATAGAGCTAGTTAGCCTCGAACTGAAAGGAGCCGTAGTTAGCGGCGGGTGTTATTCGTCGTATTTGTTGTTGCTAGTTCTCTATAGGTTTTGATCCAACAGCTGTACTGATAATAGCGTGCTCTGTGGTCATCTGTATGCGCACGCACACCAGTTTCGTAGCGCCAAACCTTACGAGTGCATGACAGGAACTAAGGGCGGTCGTCCAATAAGCAGCACCTCAGTAGCCACTTCGTCACAACCATAACGGATTTATGTTTATTTCTGTGAGAGGGGTCTGATTATGTTATCATTCGTACATTTGTGGTTGTCATCATGTTATCATCGCGATTCCTCATGGCGCTTGCAGCAGGAATCGTAGAGGAGGACGCAAACATTTGCTTTTGGAATGCGCTGTTGAACAGGGTCTAGCGGATCGGAAATGAAAGGCTTTTACGGCTCATAACATGTCGTCTAGCTTTCAGTCACATATATTTACGAGCACTGACCAAACGACGAGTTTCATACGACTTAGCAGAACTCCAAGCCCTTCAACGCTGCCTCTATCGCACCAACCAGGATTCCTGTCATACTCAAAGGCCGCGCGCACAACCTGCCAAAAACTTTAAAGCCTGATCCGGAAGAGCAACGGCCCTAGAAGGGAAGGACTCATGACTCTGCTGAGGTAAACCGCCCAGTGAACAAGTGACATCCGCCATCTTCGGCCTTGTCTGCTTCAGCGTTTCCTCTCGGTCACGTGCCCCGGTCAACGTGGTCCTCTCTCGTCGATCAATGTGGTTCCAACGTAGCCGACAGAAACATTACAGTCATTTGCGTCTTATACATTGTAAAAACTCGTCGCCCTTTACGCTTCTGCAGGCGACCGCTGCTCCTGTGCTTTGTTCAAAGCCTAAAAACGTCCAAGCCAGCGCTGTGAGAGATTGTATGCCTCTTCCGCAGTGAGTGCTTTTGATTGAAACGTCTGCTGGTCCCCGCTCTTATGAGAGCCACCCACCACCCTATATGGTGCACGGGCCAAAGCACAGCAGAAAGGCCTTTAAGATTGCAGTACGCTATCACCCAGCGACCTCTCCGAGACCTCAATCGGACGTCTTCAATTGTCATGCAGGGCCGCTTCAAGTCCCGTCCCCGTCTTCGTTTCAGTAATGCATTTAGGCGAGAGCGGCGTTCAAGGCGCGAACTTGCTGAAAGACCCTGACTGATATCCCATAAACGACGGGAAATGCAAATACTTTACGGCGATGCCTGCGTGGTATGCTCCATGGGTGTTATAGTTGCCACTGAGATGTCCGCTTGGTGTGCTGTTGTAGTCGTTACAGCGGGACCTGTCCATGAGTTTTTAAGCTTCTTTCACCCCATCGGAAGGAAAATACATTAGCGCAGAGTACGTAAGTAGTGAGGAAATGAAGACAGCAGCCGTGCTAGCTACGCTGCCTTACAATGGTAAGATCTCCCGCCTTGGGTCCGTGCCGTCTTGCCGCCGAGGACGCCGACCGGAGGTGCCGATCACTGCAGCCGTGGCCGTGCCCTTCAGCCCAGTCGACGCACGGCCAGCCGGCCGCTGCCGGGTCAAGAGCCGACGCCCCGGAATAAACGGCGCCATCAAACACGCTGCAAGTACATTCGCACGTCTCGGACGGGCGGCTCGAAATCTTCAATAACGCCGCGGCGGATGCGCCTCTTTGCTGTCGGCGGCGCCGGCCGTTCATCACCGGGCCCGGCGCTGTTTATGAATCGAAATTTCCGCCGCGGCCTGAGCGCTGGGGGCCGAGCCCCGCGAACCGGCATACCGGGAACCGGAAGGCCCGCTGTGTCATTTGCACCGGTTACGCGGTTATTTACTGCGATGTACATCATGGCTTAATTGATAACACGCTGTGGCCTCGTAATTCAGTCGCAATCCATCAGATGGCACCAGCGGCGCACGCTAACGGCCTGATTACGCCGCCGTAAAAGACGCCTCGGCACGCAACGACTGCGAGCTTGGGAAGGGCCTCTTGCCACGGACGTTGGCTCGTTACACCTTCACGTGCCAGACCAGACATCGCCCGGTTAAGGGAGAGGTACGACAAACGTCCGAACGAGCGCTTTACACGCTTCCGTCTCCGCCATCGATCCCCAACTGGCGTTCCTCGCTGTTCGTTGTTACACGACTGCATGCAATGGCAGTTGCAATTACAGGGGTTGAACACAAAACCATGCTGGCATCTTAAACGACGGGGCTCCGGCAACGCACACGATGACAAATTTAAAGTGGACATTTATTGCACCGCACACACTACACATCGGCTGATGCATTGACACAGCGATGCCGACTTCGATTGCACGAATGAAATTCCAAGATGGCTGTGCCCACATAGAGCGTGGAGCCTCTGGAAACACCGCACGTCAATACTGCAGCGCTACAAGCGGCACGCAGAGTTCAGCAAATTCCGGGCCGTGATCGCTGCTTTGCATTATGCAAACGCTTAAGCCGTTTGCATTGTATTAGTTCCATCGTCCTCACGTAAGGCGCACGCTCCCGAACGAGTGCTCCATAATTCCTCGCCGCATAGGACAGCCTCATGTCCCTGCGGAGTCAAGAGTGCAATGCTTGTTGCTTGCTGACTCGTCTGGGCTAATGCGCAAGTTCGAGTACGCCGGCATCACCAGTTGCAGTGTTCAGTACGCGAGATTTCCGAAGGTGGCGCCACCGCTGGCACCGCGGGCCTACCCCGGCGGCACACAGAGACGGAGCGGAGCGACTGGAAGGGGCAAAGGTCTGTCTGCACCGAGAAGCGCGTCATCGGCTGGTTACGTTGCAGTCGACGACAGGCCCCGCGGACCACAAGCGAGACTCATTTGGTCTAAGGTAACGGAACTACTCGGCACCCTCAGAAACTGACACGCAATCAACCGACGCTTCCGGACATCTCACCAAACCACCGGCTGGGCACCGACCACGGCGTCGGAGGCAGCACACCAGCCAGCGTCCCTGCAGGTCTACAGCACCCCTGGCGCGGCGCAGGGAAGGGCCTGCGCACCGCCGCGAGGTCGAGCGAGACGTCGTCTCGCCTCGACCGGACAGCGGTCGCACCGCCCACCCCACAGCGGGGCGACACGCGTCGCTCTGTTGGGCCGCGGCCGGGCCAAGGGCGTGGGCTGCGCGTCATCACGCGCGCGCCACCTCCGGCCGCTCGCCGCTCTCCTTCACCGCGGCCGCCGTGTCCCGCTCGGTGCCCTCTGTCATCACCTGCTGCTGCATGGCATGCTTGAGCTGCCGATGGTGGAAGCTGGCGGTCGACCAGGTGTAGCGGCAGTAGAACCTGTCGGCAAGGTGCCGCCGGAGGTCAGCGCGTCGACACCGGTCGAAACAGCGCGCTCGGAGAGGACGGGGTACAGGCAGAGGTGGATCACCACTCAGGTAATGTCCGTGAGCGCCCAATGCGACGGTTCATGCCATTCACTGAGGTACAACTCGGCTTGGTTTTATTGCATCATAGGAAACATCAACTGGAAATTGTCCGCCTTGTTAAACAGACAACAACAGTGGGATGGATTGCCAAATCATTGGAGCAGTGACGGGGTATATTACTGCATACCAGAGAAATGACATCCGAGATGTTAAAAGTTGTGTCATGTGGCAGTTGAGATGACTGAAGCGAGGTGTTCTCCATCCCACGCTCAAGCAAATTGCCTCACAAGTAAGGTGAATACTTCATGAACAGGCCGCCGCCAGTGGCACCCACTTAAACTGCGGCACTAGCGACTACAAAAGTCCGCGTCGTCGACACGGGGCAGAGCACCGACCCAAAGTCCCACTCGGAAAGTTTTCGCCCGGCCCTGGAACTTGCAAGTGGCCATCCAACCGGGGCGGCACATAAAGCAGAACTACTGGGAGACGTCGCCTGCCGACAGCGCGGCGCGCCGAGTGTCCATGATTTGCGCGGCGGCGACGTGAATGGGGCGGGCGCACGCCTCGCATGGCGCGGAAGGTGAATTAATGGCCGGCCGCGAGCGAACGCACCGGTCAACGAGCGTAAGAACAAAGGGGCAACGCCATTCAACTCCACACACACGCGCTCGCGCCCGCTCATTCGCGCCCATTCACAAACCCGCGTCAGGCGTGGTGGTGAGTGGGGCGTTCTCGAATTTTCGGATCTCGGTTGGGGATGAGATCGCCACCGGAGAAGAGCCACGCGCCCTCGACTGGGGAACGCTGGGGAAGTCGCTGTGAAGGAGCAGTACGAAAGTGCACTTGCCATGGTGGAATGTTTAAACTTAACTAATTCCAGCGAAGGCCAACGCGTTCTCCGACACACCTGCCTTATTGCATTTTGTATCGAGGCGCTTTTCCATTCTTATTTCGCGAGGTCTTTCCCCTCACACGACTTTTCCCTCCTCGTTTCGCAAGGTCTCCCCCCCCCCCCCCCACGGATTCCGTGAATGGCGCATGCCATGACATAAATCACATGATACATTTGCGATTTGAATCCAGAAAGCTAGGAGCGGATTCTCCAGATTGCGTCAATGCTTTACTGACCTCACAGCAACAGCCAGTGGTGGAGCTTGCGACGGCAATAGACGCACAAAGCCGGTAACTAATGCAGCAATAGCAACCAGTCGAATAATAACTCATCTGCATAACTACACAGCCACACACAGTCACAGCAATCCAACGCTAATCCCACTCATCACGTCCCCCCCCCCCAAAAAAAAACACATCCCATGCAGGGGTCCAAAATCGTGTACAATGTGTCAGTACAGCTGCACGCTTCTAAACTTCTGGCCCCGCTATCCGGACACGTTCTTCACTGGCAAACAAAAGCCCACCTCGGTGTGAGCCCAATCGACGCTCCTTGCTTACCTATGACGCCACAGCCCAGCTTAGCTCCCGACTTGGCCGAGGGGCGGAGCGAGTACGTTTGTTTACAAGTTGTCGCTGTTTATATAGCAGCGTCCAGCACCTCTCGAGCGCATGTGGGTAGCGTGATGAACAATGTGTTGAGCCTTACACATAATTGTACCATCTTTTATGTGGGCCAATGCAAAGTCTCTTTTTACCCTCGGGCGATCTTCCGGATCTGCCTAGAGGCGGGGATCTGCCTGGAGGATGTTACGTGGGAATTCGGCGCAAATTATTTACTTTAGTCGGTGTTCGACCCAAGGCAAGGGAAATACATCTAACAAAAACATAACTCACATAGCCGTGACCTCCACGACGCACAGGTAATCCCAGCAGCATACACGGTAAATGGAATGGACGGCCGACTAGTGTTCATCGCCGCAGCATTTTCCGCAGATTCCCTGGCACCGTACCAACGGAGGCCTCGGCTCGACCGATCGGTCGTGACCAGAAAAGATGGATGAAGTTGCATTCAAATAACAAAGTGGAGACGGAGCTTCCACGTTTTAATTCAATCGAATGGTATTCAAGTGCGCCATTCCTGTGCGCTAGATATATCCATGTGCTTACATCAGCTGATTCTACTTGATGCCTACTATTTTGAATTAAAGCCATTCTTCATTAGCGTGTATCTGTGACGCCACAGGTTGCTACCTCAATGGGCGAAGATTGGGCCGTTGGGCCGTAAGTCAACGAAGAACTGAGCCCTGGCTTCCCGACCGGCTGGTCAAGCCGAGGCGCATTAATGCTGGGTTGGCCGGCGTCTGACTCGCTGCTAACTGGCCGATCTTGAGCCAGCGGGGCAGCAGGCTTGGCAGCAGGCCATGGACAGCCAGTCCGGGGCATGATGGCATGAAAAATGTCAATATCCATGCCATCCAAGTGACCGAATATTGCCAGTTGGACGTCTACCACCACGTGCTAAACGCCCTCTCACCTCAGGTGTCGTCGATATTCACACACCCATGCTCACCCAAACTGATATTCAGTCTTCATTCTCCATACCCGAACCCCTGATCCCATACAGACGCACACACACAGCAAACGTCGCAAGGAGGCGGGATCGGTGGCCCGACCGGAAGCGGGTGAGGGAGCGGACTCGCAGCCTGCGACGCAGCCGCACGCGACAGGCCGTTATTTCGGCGGTCCGTCCCTCAACGAAATGGCGCCGCGGCACGGACAGAACGGAAAGGCGACAGGCGAATAGCCGGCAGCGCGGGAAGACGCACGAAAGGCGCCGAACGCCACGCCGCGACGGCACGCGACCCCGCGAGCTCGGGAAACGGCCGCGGCTCCGGCCGCTGGGCTGGCCGGTCAGCGCGCGCCAACTGACGCGTGCGTTTGGTCGATCCTGACGCTGAGTTTGATTGGCGGGAGCGGCGGCGCGAACGGATTCACAACGCCCTTTGATAAAACTTCACTGTTGTATCGTGAATTAACGCGGTTATTTCGTATTATTTTTAATGAAAATTCATGTTTCTTGCATGCACGCAACAGCGTGCGAAAGACCGCTACGCCAGCTTCGATGTTGCATGCATGTCGCATACGCCTCAGCACTCCCTGGAACCTCTGCAACACACACTCGTACCTACGCACGCGCGCACGCGCGCACATCAATATCAACCTTTCTAGCGCATCTCCTCGCGTCCACGACTGTTGGGTCCCAGGTTGCTATCCGTCCCCTCGCCTCTGGGCCGGCCGCCCAGTGGTGAGGGGCCGACACCTCTCGTCGCGGCCAAGGGAACGTCCGGCAGGGCGCTGGACGCGCCCGCTCAGATCCCGGAACACCAGAGCCAGTTCCGTGTCTGGCGCCCACTCGAAATCACGAACCCACCTCCCGACGCTGCAGCCTCCCTAGCCTTCTAGAACAATGCGCAGACTGCACACACACTCAAACACATCATCAGATTTGGTCGTGACGCGACACGGTATTGACAGGACAGAGGCCTAGTTTCGCGTCGCATGCGCCACTTCGCCAGACGGCAGAACTGCGAGGCACCGAGTAACTGAATCGAAACGTTCAAAAGGCCTTGGATACCGATCTTAAAACAGTTGTGAAGAAGTATGTGCCATCTGCTCCCGAATTGCGTAATTTACCTTTTTGCTGAGCACTCGGCACATATGTATGGCCAAGAGAAATGTTCCGAAACACTGATTTTACGTGCAGCTCACATGGCGGGAGAGCATTCATTATTTACCACGTGATAGTAACGAATTTGCTTGACGGACATCTCAACAGGCGAGCGCCTGCAGTGTACTGAGCACCGCCAGTATTACATAAACATGCGCTGAACGTCGTTATTTTCCGTGGTGAAAACACCATCAGCTAATCGTGAATAACTTGTCGATGCAACGTACGTCATGATGGGGCTGTCACATGACTTGTCACGCATGGCCGTGCTCACGGGGTAATGCCATTTATAACTATGTCCATGGCCTACTCAGTTCTAAGCCGTCCACCTAACCCACATTTTACCGAGATATGCGATAGATATGATAGAACCCAAACATATGGACAATGAAAACGAAGAGAAGCATCAGCCTTGCCATCAGCACAGGAAAGACATAAACATGCCATTATGTCTGTCTTGTAACAGAATAACGTACGCTCCGCCTTACTATCCAAGTTTATAGTACTATCCAGCGCGGGAATGTGTAACGCTAACCGCAGATGAGGGAGCTCATAAAGCATCCGGAAGAGGGCCATTTTGGCTCGTTCATGGCCGCCTCCCGGTCCCACCGGACCGACCGCCAAGAAGCAGTGTGACTTCGTTTCGTTCCATGCACTGGGATATGTCTAATGCGCAGTTTTCCCATACGTTCAGCCTCCCCGACCCTAATTGCTGCGCCCATGACGCCAGCACTCCCAAGGAAGCGACGGTTACCAGTAGCTCAGCGAGACAGTGAAGAAGGAGCCGAAGGCGACGTGTGACGCAGTCCTTGGCCTGCTGGTCAGCATGAAGTAGGTGAGGCCGGCCACCATGCCAGAGCCGATGCCATACAAATACGTCTGACGAAAGCATGGGATGTTGGACAGCTTCCGACCGTGTAGAGTCACCTGCCGGACAAAACACGAACGATAATTACAGGCGACGCCCAGTCACTAAGTGCACTAGAAAACGGGCGTTTTCATGTTCACGAATACATATTCATTTGTAACACAAGTGCATGGAACAAAACAATCAACACATAGTGATAAATTCAGTTTTTGGATGTGCTGATTGCATTGGTGAGATGACACACAATTACACACACAATGACTGAAGTTTCCACTTGCAAGTTCAAAATCAGCAGTGTGCAAATCATACTGATCATATATGTGATTGATGAGCAGAGATTGAATATCCATGATTACTTAAGGACAGCAATTGCACATGTTATATGAACTCACAACATTTGATAGGTTCACATCAAAAGCCTCAAAGATCTGGGATTGACACTTGTTAATTATCAGGTTGCAGCAGTACCATTTTATGGGTTACCAACTAGCTTTAGAAGTCATAAAATAACATAATAAGTTAGATGCAACATTATCCCAATGCAAATGCCACAAAAGCACACCTACAACACAAAAAACTTGAATGGTTTGGGTGTACCATGCCTATGATAGTCAAAGAGGGAAGCTCAGCCTCCCAGTTGCAAATGTCTTCTGCCAAAAACACCACTGTGGTATAAACTGTTGCTCACCTCTCGCTTCTCTGGCTCATCTGAAGATGCCATCCTCTGCAGGGCACCTGGAAAATGTGTGTATATTTGTAAGGGTAAAGTGTCACTCCAAAGCTTTTTTTTAGCTGCTGGCTGCACAATATCTCTCAAGCTAGCATAACAAATTGCATGTTAGAGAGACATCAAACATGTTGATTCTATAACATGTCATAACAAAATATTGTATGTTAGGCAGACATCAAGTATGGTCATTCTATCACATTGTTTTCACCTTACAGCCACTGCATCAAAAGATACAAAACCAACACTGAGATTTCCCATGACCATGTGATACCTACATCAGGCAAAGAGATCATGCCATGTGCTGGGATATCACACAGCTTCATATTGTGTGAATCATCACAATTGATGCATCCAGCAAAAGTAAATAATGATAACAGCCACTCAATTACATTCCAATCCTGGGCTTCATGTCAAACTCAGGGCAATTGGACATCAGCAAATGTACAAGTCTATGTTATATGTGCAAACAGCAATGTGCAACTCTAAAAAAAATCTGAAGCAGAAGGGAGCATGAGTGGCATGTGCCTGAAACCAACATGGGACATCAATGTCACTGACATCTACCTTACAGCTACAGTTGATGTTTACCACATTGGTATGGCATAAAAACAATGCAAATATCATTTGTGCAAGATGGCTGTAAGCAGCCCACACTGCCAATATACCTAAGGGCTTTAAATTATATCAAAACTCATGAATCCAGGACATTTTTCAGGGAAAGGTACGCAGAAAACAAGATACTTCACCGTGCAGGTTTGTGCCCGTAGTCATAAATTGACCGCCAAAGCACATGTTTGTTAAGCAGTTTTCTAACCACTTTCTTCTGTCAAATCTCTAGAGACAAAGGCAGAGCAAAGCCAGCATGAGCTAACCTGCATCCTTCTCTGAATGTTACAATTGCATTCTACAGTATGTCTTGACATGAAGCCCCTTGCCACCATCATCATGATGCACTCAGCTACATATATATTTTAGTGGCATGGCAAACATAGTCCATATGTCATCTCAATTTGTGGTGATATTAACACACCCAAGCCTAGCTTCAAATGTAGTAGACCTGGCCTGTACATAAGCAGCTACTTGCTATCCCCACTGCATTGATGCTTTAAAATACAGCATCCCATCAACTCATCTCTAAGAAATGCTACACCTGGTTTTCGGCATAACTCGACAGTAAAACAGTACCCCACCATGAATATGTGGCAGTTAATTAACTACTGAATACTAACGTACATCCACCAAACGCCCCCGTAGCGCACACACATACGGCCTGCGGCCCGCTATACGGACGCCGATCTGGTGAGATTTTCACCACATACGTCTTAGCCTCGCTACATTTGTAGTCCCATGGTTTTTCTTTCCTTCATAGTCCCCCAACCAGTGGCGAGCCCCGGCCGCAGAGCCGACTAGACGGGCAACGCTCAGTCCCCCGAAAACCAGCTGGTGTCGGGGCGAGCGGGTGAATAGCATTGGCAACACCTACTGCATCAACGTGTTGCCATCCAAGCTGCTAGCTGGCTTCTGAGCTGAGTTTCCGCTCTCAGATATTTGCACAACGCACAAATTGACGAGCCCATTACCTCGGTGAAGGCAGTCTCACACGGAGCCTCACCAGCATGTACCAACCCCCTGCCAGCTTACCCGTCGCTTCCACCATCACGGGGGTAGGGAAATAAGCGTTTCGCCACCGTGGCGGGTCTTAAAGCTGAGACAGCTGGCATGCTTGCCGTCGGTCACCACCACACCAAAAGTTGAATCCTCTCCGCCAGGAAGTCCGTTCAGCGGTCCGAGCTGCCGAAGACAAGTTGCCACACCAAACAAAACCAATCCTTTCAGATTGAACGCTCTATTGTTCAGCTGCAGGACACGAGAGAGCACCACTCAGCAGCCAAGTACAAGCGTGGGCATCATAAGGCCGAACAGGATACGCAGGGATTTAGGTCAGCTAGATGTGTAGAGAGTGGACGAGACGAGGCGAGATAAATTGGGAACAGACATGCGCGGACTCCCGCGTGTAGATGAACTCGCAGCATAATTGAGGGGGAGACAGCCCCCCCCCCCTTCGTAGCACTAATTTTATGTGTGACCCAGATGAGTCGTTTGGAAAGCATTACATTTCAAAACAGCGCGTGCTTCTTAATCATTCTGAACAAGTTCCACGCCTGGCCCAATCGATGGTTTTCAGATGCCGAGAACCCCATTCGGTGGTTCTCAGATGCCGAGAACCTCAATCGATGGTTCTCAGATGCCATGATGTCCTCCGGCGATTGGGTGGTTCTGACCTCAGAATTCACGGACGTCAGTCAAAAGATTCCTCAGGTAGGCTAATGCATGCCTAGCAGCAATTACTTGGACACGATTGATAAGATGTACAAGCCAAAGGACAAGACAAGACAACTAGCCGCGCCGACACTAACCAGTTTTAGGCTGAAAAAGACAACGAAAGGCCACAATACGATACCTTGCACGAATCGCTTATAAAATCGGTATTCGACGATTATACGCCAGCATATTACGGGACAAGGCAGAGAAAACATCCAACGTCTGCGCCTACCACACAGCAAATCCACTTCCGATGTAAACCTCGTACAAACCTATTGCAAGCAGCACACACCAATCACGACAAACACGTACTACACAGACAGCAAAAGCACGCTCGGCTACGAAAGCTAATTCACCACGCACCTTCTGAGTTTCAAACCTTCCTCCAATTGCACTGCATGGTTACCACACCGATCTCCAACATGGATGTTGCAAGAACGCAATCCGCAATCCGCGATGCCGCAATCGGCATACATCGGGTCACCCACGCACTCAGACCTTGGATGCGACCGTCTGACCACACAGCGGACCCCGCTCACCGCCGACACGTGCCAGCGTCTAGCAGGACGAGGTAGACAAGGCAACATCACCCCGAGCTGGTCTCGGCCGACCTCCCTCCCCCGGATGACGTCACGGCGGCGTGGCGCGGTACGAGCCACCCCGTTTGTTCGTTTGGCGAGCCGCGCGGCGCGCGGCCCGGCGCCGGCGGCTATCCGGCCGGCGGGTGGTGTTCGTACAGGTCCTCACACTTCTCCAGCAGCCGCAGGATCGGGCCCACGTTGTAGGGGAACAGGTCGCGCGCCACCAGCCGCTCCAGCGAGAGTCGCAGTCGGATCAGCACGGTCATCACCTCCTCCAACTTGCCGGAGCACACCGCGGTGAACTGGGTCCAGTGTTTGCGCACGTACTTGAGGTAGCGCAGCAGGTAAAGCAAAAAGCACGTCTCGTTTGACACGAGGAAGTCGAGCAACAGGTCGTGGTCGCGCAGTACCGTCTCCAGAAACTGCACGAAGCTGCGGTGCGGGTCAACGGCGCGCTCGAAGTCAGGCTGCAGTCGCACGCGGCCCGCCAGGCCGTTGCACAGGTCCAGTAGGCACACCATAGCCTCCACCAGGTAGTCGTCCTGGTCGCAGAGCAGCAGCACCGCCCACTCGCTCATCGGCGTCTCCGGGTGGAAGGGCAGGCGCGCCTTGATCCAGGCGTCGAGCCGGCGCACCACGTCGCGCAGCGTGCGCTCGATGATGGCCATGTCCTGCTCCTCGGAGCCGGAGCCCCCGGCCGAGCGCGCCGACGAAGCCTCGCTGCTGCTCTCGCAGCGCGTCTCCTTTACCGTCACGGCCAGCGCCTTCAGCAGCAGCAGCACCGTCTTCTGCAGCAGGGACCGGTCACCGGCCGCGTCGCCGCCGCCGCCGCCGCCGGCGAAGGCGCGCGCGCCGCGCTCGTACGGCACCAGCTCCAGCAGGCGGCCGGCGCGCGCCTGGCGCAGCAGTGCGTGCGCCAGGCAGGCCGGCTCCTCAGCCACGCAGTCCTGCAGCGCGATGGTGCTGCCGTAGCACAGCACCTCGGCGTACAGGTCGAGTATGGCGCGCCACACGTGCGGCGACGCGTCCGCGCCAAGCGAGCCGAGCAGCCCCTCCAGTCGGCCGTACAGCGACTTGGTCTCGACGATGCTCAGGTTGTTCTTGACGGAGATGATGGTGGCCCACAGCCGCAGGAAGGCGAGCACCTCGGTCTCGTGCGCCGGCCGCGTCAGCAACCGGCAGAAGCGCTGCGTGGCCGGCACCCATCGGTTCTCCAGCAGCGCCGTGATCGAGCACTTGATCTCGGTGAGCGCCTCGGCGTCGGGCGCCACGCTGACCACGACGCAGCCGGCCGGCGGCGGCCGCGGCCGCGACCGCTCGCCACCGCCGACGTCTGGCTCGTCCTCGTGCTGCTCGATGAGCCACTGCAGCGCGTTCAGCGCGTGGCACACCTCGAGCGGCCGCTCCGACTCGAGCACAGTCGCCACGAGCGCCTCGAGCAGGCGCTGGGCGCGCTCGGGCGGCAGCAGGAGCGCGGTGAGCGCCAGACAGCGGCCGGCGGCGCAGCTGATCAGCGGCCGCTCCGAGCCAAGCAGCTCGAGCAGCGCCGCGCTCAGCGGCTCGTCCGCCTCGCACTGGCCGCTGACGGCGCCTCGCAGCCGCCGGCACATGCTGCCCTGGCGCAGCTGGTGCAGCGCCGCCTGCTGCAGCAGCTGCAGGGAGCTGAGCGCCAGCAGGCGGCGCCGATGGTCGGCGGCGGCCAGCTCGGCGGTCAGCGCCGGCAGCCGGCCAGCCGGCAGCGGGCACAGGCAGCCCAGCAGGGCGCGCGCGTGCAGCTGGCGGCGCGGCTCGTCGTCGGCCGGGGACTCCTGCCGGCTGAGGCGCGGCCTCTTGCAGGGCGCCGGTTCGGCCGGCGCCGCGCTACACCTGCTGCTCTCTGTCATGTTTGCGCCGCCACACCGACACCTGCCGACGCACACGGCAGTGATACAGTCACACACCGGCGCGGCAAGCTACGCCGAATGCAAACCAGGAGACACATGCAAGTAAGCGAATGTGTCAGGCTCATTACAGCACAGCCATAAACCAGTGTCGCCTCACAGCTCTTTTGGGGCAGGCTTATTTAACTTACTGTTAGTCGGGACAGTGAATGTTTTATACGGCAATGACCGAATCAGGACCACTCAATCCACCTTCGATCCCTTCCGCGGGAAACCGAGCTTAGATCGAAAGCCTCAGTCACGCGCGCCGATACTCTCGTTAAGGCCGCTTCATAGATCACCAAGAAGTGCAATCAACATCGATTGTTCACATCGATGCGACATCGATTTAGAGCAGCATTTTAATTTGGCGGCGGCTCACTTGTTTCCACCGCTGTCATTACGATGCTGGGCAGCTAAGATTGGATCAGCACATTTTTCAGCCATCCAGCCGGACACCACACATGGGTCAGCACAATAAGGGGATACGGGTGCTTCGAACTGAACCATAGCTAGACTCTGGGCAAACTGAGCCTCTGCCGCCTGCACCAGGAAGAGCCAGGGTCACAGACGTAGCCGACGGGAAGGCCAAGGGGTCACGCCCCCCCCCCCCCCACACTTCTCTGAGTCAAGAGGTTTACTCTAGATAGCGGGCATTCGTAGGAATTTGGTGTCATTCGCTAGGGTTCGGAGAAAATTTCACATCTACCTCATCAAACCCCTCCAAGCCCAAATCAAATTTTGGCTACAAGCCTGATCAGAGCACACACTCACATCAAAGTCAAAGGAGGCGACGGCATAAGACACCGCCGTGTCGTATTCCAACGATTTGCCCGTGCGGGGCGCGACCGCACGCTCGTCTTTCCCCAGACCCGACCCCAGCTTGCGCTCCGCAGCCCCGGCACCACCGGGTGTGACGCGTGCCGTCACGGCCGGCCGACATTTCTGCCGTGATCGGCGAGCGCTCACGCCGCAGCCGCCGTGCAACTGCGGCGGCCGGCAGCGGCAGTGAGGGCAGTCCGGGCTGAGCGCCCTCAGCGCCCAGTCGCAGTCAGGTCGCGTTCCGAAGCGCGGAGCCAACGCTGTTCGGTGCTGAGAGGTGGTTGGCGGCAGTCGATCATCGCGGCTCTCACATGATCTAGCCAAGGCATCACGGAGAGCCTCCACGCGCAGTGAGGCCGCCGACTGGCGGTTGACCCCGCTACATCTGACCGGCATTGAGTTTAACACAGCGCGCCTGAAGCGTGGCACATACACCTACCCCGGACAGACAACACATGATGACTAATATTTGACCATCATATGTATGATTTTTTGGAAAACCTTCGGGGAAAATTTTGCACGTATAAAAAGTGTTCAGGAATGCTGAGTCTAAATAACTGGTGAAAACAGATGACCAGTTTATCACGGCAAGGCGTGGCGATAGCTAACCAGCATTCCAGCATCGCCTCCCACGATGTCGCGTTACCTCATCCACGAGGCCTCTCGCCCAACATGACACTAGACAGCATCCGCAGACCGTGGTCACGACCTGCACCGGTCCGCAGTGGGCCGCGCCACCGGAGAACGCAGCACCCGCCAAATGGAGCACGCACCTCCGGCAGGGACAGCGTGTACGTGCGCAGGGTGAGCGGCAGGAGGCGGCATAGTCGCTCGTGGGCGGCCACGCACTCGAAGTGCGGCTCCAGCAGCGTCTGCAGCGCGTAGAACGTCGACTCGTCCTCGCCGACGGCCAGCCAGGCGCTCTGGAGGCGGAGCGGAGGGCGCGTGAGCACCACCGGGCGCCGCCACCGCGGACGGCGCGCCCTAAATGCCGACACAGGGACAGTGGGCTATGGCGACCTCAGAGTGAAATACCTTTTCTGTTACCCAAACCAGACTAGTCCGAAACTCTGTCATGACAATGGTGATTCCATAGGCGTATGCGCCCACTTAAATTCTTACCTTGTCAGAAAGCACCTGATCAACTCTACTACTAATGCGTCAGTACAACACCAGTCATAAAACGACGTACCTGCGGACTGCGGCTATTGCCCTTACCCTGGGCGGCTGCTGTCCCTGCCTCGGTCACGTACCTTGGGCAGGTGGCTGCTACCCCAGTCGTAGTTGGAGGCGATCACCAGACAGCCGTCGGTGACCACGTACTGATGCACGGCCGCCAGGAAGTCGGCCGGCGCACTGAGCTGGGTAAGCGTGTCCGCCACCAGTACGCAGCCGAACTGGCTGAAGCCGCGCGGTAGCTGACACGGGTCGTCCGGCCAGAACTCCACCCGCTCACACTCCTGCCGACACCCATCGGCCGCGTCAGGGGTGCCCCACAACTCCACCCGCTCACACTCCTGCCGACACACATCCGCCGCGTCAGGGGTGCCCCACAACTCCACCCGCTCACACTCCTGCCGACACATATCCGCCGCGTCAGGGGTGCCACACAACTTCACCCGCTCACACTCCTGCCGACACATATCCGCCGCGTCAGGGGCGCCACACAACTTCACCCGCTCTAACTCCTGTCGACGCCCGCCCACATCAGGGGTGTCCCACCGCAACCCCATCCGCTTACACTCCTGCTCACACACGTCCGCGTCAGAGGCCGGGCGTTACAGAATGAGTCGTCATCCCTGAAGGCCACCAGAACAAGACCTATTGGGGAATGTTTCTGAAAGCGACCTTTCTGTAGAATGCGATGTACAATGGCTGATGTTGTAGCCTCTGCTTGGTCGAACCGTAATGCCATTACGCTTCGACCAAACAGACGCAACGCGTCGCACGCGTGATGCATAGATCATTCCACCAGTACAACATAACCAGCGGACCTGAAAAGCAACAAAGAACGTTGACTCCGGACTATCCCATCCAAACTAATCCAGTTCCGTTACTTTTTATGAAGCATAGGCTGCCGGAGACAAGACAAATCAGGTCTCGAACATACAAACGTTTCGGGGTTGCCGTTTCAGTGATGAAAAACTGTCAGCAAGGAGGCCCACAAGCTGGGTACAAATATGGACAGCAGGCATGTGACAGCGGAAGAGTCCATATTCCACATATAAATACTTTGAGCAAAGCTACAAGACTTTCAGCCACACCTGCACCTCGGTTTCTATCCACGGCTGCACCATACCACCCTGGTCCGGTCAGATGTCACCGCGCGCGACGGCCACAGCCATCACGCCGCCAGCCGCAGCCTTCATACCGGCGGACCACCCCCGGCCTCCCTGTCCGCCCCAGCACGCCACCACTCACGAACTGGTGGTCGAGCTTGGCGGTGAGCGGAACGGCCGCGTCGCCGCCCTCCTCGGAGAAGCTGTAGACGCAGTGGCCGACCTGGCGCAGCTGCTGGCCGAGCTGCAGCAGGTCGCGGTCGGGCTCCAGCCCCACCACCTGCTCGAAGCTGCGGCTGAGCTCGAGGCTGGTGCGAGCCGTGCCCGACAGCACGTCCAGCACGCGGCGCTGGTACGTCGGCTGCCGGCGGCGGAGGCCGGTTACGCACGAACCGAGCAGCCCCCATCACGTCGGAGCGTGGCCCACAGGTCAGCGCCTGGGACAGGCAAGCCGCCTCCCTTGGTCTAAGCTCCGGTCTCCGGTCTCCGGTCTCCGGTCTCCGGTCTCCGGTCTTCCGGACTCCGGTTTAGTGAACGTAGGCTGGAAGACTCAGGGCTCCCCTGCATAGTTGCAAAGCAAGACGCGGCGGTCGACTAGCTGTACACGTGCCCGCATGCTTGCGAAACACCGCGTGTCGCGCTGACCCGAGTGCGCAAGTCCCGCCAGGTCACAGAGTGCCACCGCGTAATATCCTAGCGCCGAGACGGTGCGACGGGGTGCCATGGAGTGCCACGAGCCCCGCCGCGCACGGTGCACGTCAGAGCATGACCAAATAGTGGCCCCAGCGCCGGGGCTGACCAGACCACCCCGCCACAGAGAACCCCGCACGGACGCGCGCCGGCGACTGACCAGGTGCGCGGTGTGCTCGACGCAGAGTTCCACCAGCCGGCGGTGGAAGTCCGCCGCAGCACCGAGCACCGGCTCGGGCACCAGGTGGCGCAGGTCGCCGTACTCGGCCTGCAGGCTGCGGCTGACGCGCGTGGCCGGGTCGGGGAGCGGCGCCGCCGGCCGTCGCCGCAGCCGCACCAGCGCCCACAGCAGCGCCGCCGCGAGCGGAGTGCCCAGAGCAGCGACGCAGCCGAGCGTGGCTGCCGCCCTCATGCCAGACGCGGCCTGCCAGGCAGCTGGCGTCACACAGAGGCAGCAGTCATGCGTGGATGGCAGCACAAATGTGTCATAATGTGCGTGAATTACTGAAGCTATGATTAGTAAGTTAAAACCTAAGGAGGGTGTCACCTGGGAATTAATTACTTTGCTTCTTTGGCATCAGCTTTGACACACATCATCAGGTTCAATCATCCTTGCCTACACTCAAGTGCATTTTCTCCTTATATTTAGGTAATTTCACCACTGTAGGTGTACTTTCCTACCTAACGTTAGAAAAAATCATTGCACACCATTCGTCGTGTTTAAGGCGGCACAAATCGTAAATAATCTCAAAACAGGTAGAATCATGCTCCTACCTTCGAATTTCAATAACTTCGATGGCGGGCTCCCGAGCACCGCGCGCACCGCACCGCCTGGACTCCCCAGCGCCGTTTCTGCGCTGCCGTTGCGTAACTACAATATTTCTGCTTACCAAGAACTCTACAAAATGTACGGGACCAAGGTAAATCATTCCTCGTGTTTAAGGCGGAACATATCGTAAATAATTTCAAAACAGATAGAATCATGCTCCTACCCTCGAATTTTAATAAATACGATAGCGAGTTCCCGAGCGCCGCACGCACCGCACCGCACCGCCTCGACTCCCAAGCGACGTTTCTGCGTTGTTGCGAAAGAACAATATTTCTGCTTATCAAGAAACATAAAACATGTACGGGACCAAGGTAACAATAATAAAGCAAATAAAATCGTTTCTTATCGAGTTTAGGTACATTTATGAAACGCACAGGCCAGAATAGTCCAGAACATCAACCCAACCCAACCCAACCCAACCCAACCCAACCCAACCCAACCCAACCCAACCCCAACCCAACCCAACCCAACCCAACCCAACCCAACCCAACCCAACCCAACCCCAACCCAACCCAACCCAACCCAACCTAACCAACCCAACCCAACCCAACCCAACCTAACCTAACCTAACCTAACCTAACCTAACCTAACCTAACCTAACCTAACCTAACCTAACCTAACCTCCCCACCCTATATCCCCTTCAACCCCAGCATCCCATTGGCGTCCATGTTCCATGCCATATATAGGTGCCATATAGTGAGCTTTTATTTAGCTGTCATGTTCTCATTTTGCTTTACATTCCCCACCCAATCCCCCTGCAACCCATGGTCCCGTTGGCGTCGAGTATCAAATTTCATGGATTCTTGTTACCTTGGCCCGGTACATTTTTATGGTTTTTGATGCTGCTTGATGCACAGTAATGTTGTGGCCAGCGCAGTAATGGCGCCGTTGTCGCGGGTGCTGTGTGTGTGCGGCGCTCGGGAGCTCGCCATCGTAATTATAAAAAAATTGAAGGTAAGATTATGAATCTACCTGTTTTGTGATTATTTACGATATGTCCTGCCTTAAACACGACGAATGGTTTACTTTGGTCCCGTACATTTTGTAGAGTTCTTGGTAAGCAGAAATATTGTATTTACGCAACAGCAACGCAGAAACGACGCTAGGGAGTCCAGGCGGTGCGGTGCGCGTGGCGCTCGGGGGCCCGCCATCGAAGTTATTGAAATTCGAAGGTAGGAGCATGATTCTACCTGTTTTAGATTAACACGACGAATGGTGTACAATGATTTTTTCTAACGTTAGGTAGGAAAGTACACCCTGACCATTTCACCTTGTGACTTCAAGAGAACTTAAATAGTTCTCTGAAGTGTTTCAGTATTCAGGCACTTGGGTTTTGCGTTAACAGTTATGCATGCTATTACATGCTCAGTATGGGAATCACAAATTTTAACAATTCTGGGCAGTTTTGATATCAGGGCTGATGGATCAGAGATCGAAGAGGAACAGGTAAATGCCAACATATTATGTACAGAGATGGATGGATAGGCAGGATTCTGGCAGAGTGAATGCTTGCTTATGCACTGCATGTTTTACTGGATGAATTTCTGAACACTCAAAAGGATATGATTTGCTTAGCTTGCATTGACTGCATTTTTTCATGTGCATGGTGTCTGGGGTTTTGTGGTGTTTTTTTTGTCAAGCTAAAAGGCCTTATTTGGGGCTTTCATGCAGGGTTCTGCCCAACAAACAGGAAACATGCACCTTGTCCTGTATTTAATTGATGTAATGACACATACATTAAAGATCAATTAATTTCAGCACCTATCCTGCACTTCTCAATATCTAGCTAGCACTTGTCAAAGCATGTTGCAACACAACTGGCATTTGTAGCCACACTGAGCCAACACAGCAGGACAAATTCCTCACTAATTGCTTACATAAATCATGGCTGTCAAAACAATGAGATGTGTTGCCATCACAATGTGTGGGAGCTTATAATTTGTGATATGGGCAAAAGCAAATATTTTTGATCATAGGAGCATAATTATGCTCAATGGCAGTAAGTGTATGACAAATAAACATAACAATAAACCAAAGATAAACATGTTAACCACATGTGTTGATATAACCATTTAATGCAACTGTAACTAAAAAGCTCCAAAAAATATCTTCCAATCAAAGGAGTCCAAGTAATAATCTCTTTTCATTGGTCAATGCCCATTATTACACTTCCTACACATTTCTCATGCTGACAAGTGCCCTCAGTTTGTGGCATAAGCAGATACTGCAGGGAATGGATGCATGGGATCACCATAAATTTGAACTTGAGTGTTTGATACCAACACATTGTTTTGTAATTGTCATTAGCATTGCATGCACAATATAAACCACCTGACATAGACAGCTTCATTTTGAAAACAAGACAGAAGCTAAATTCACATCGGGGGACTGTATTCATAGAACAGCATTGTCGCATTTCACACCGCCACATTACTCACCTTTTCGTTCGCTTCGTGGACTTTACAGGTAACGAAAAATAACCCAAATATGCCAACCTGCTATGTTAAGTGGTTGCCCAAATACAACCACACTGACTTTTGCACGACAGAAACCCAAATGCGACCACTTTTCGGAAAAGCGGCCCTTAGAACAATAACTTGACGCCCGTCGCTCCCACTAATCTCTGAGTATTAACCCGACAATTATAGGAGCGCGTCAGAAGCGTGCAGAAGAGGCGGGGAGCCGCGCATGGAATGTCTAAGGTAATTTGGTAGCTATAACGCTGGAAGAGAGTATTTCGGAAAACATATTTATTCAGTAAAGTTTTTTCAATTTGGTAGATATTTGAGATGAATTTCCAAACACTCTCAAACTTGCAAGCGTTTATCTTGATTGCGTTGTCAAAGAGGCTATTTGAGCTTATATAAATGTGTTGAACTAAATGTCATGCACCTCAAATACTTGTACTTTACTATTTTTATGCAGCGCTTCTAAGAAAGCTACCAAATCAACAACAATGGCGCAACGGTGCCAATTAGTGCGTGGACGTATCTGCTCATCCGGATGCTGCTTGGTGTGTGTGCGCATGTGTCAAGATACATTTGGATGCGTGTCTAACAAAACGGCCGTGGGAAGCGGTGGGATTTGGGGTGCTGTATGCCTGAACATCCTATTTTGTGGTAAGTGTAACACAGAAACAGGTGATGTTTTCTTCTTAGCTTATCGTAAACCCGTTCTGAATTTTGCTGACGCATTACCAAACGTCTCATCTACGCTATACATTTTCCCTTACCGGTAAGCGGGAATTTAAAAAAAAGCATGGGATGTCGATTCCAGTACCTTTGGGCTCCTACTCGGGTAATTAGACAGTCTCAATTAGGGGTGTGGTCTACGTGAGATGTCACATTATGTCAGCCCCATGTAAATAGAGCCTAGATTTTAAGTGCTCGCCTGAGGTTGATGACACCATTGCAGGTGGAAGAACACTCCAGTCATTGGTGATCCTTGCACTGAATGAGTTTTGAAGTGTGGGAGTCCTAGCTCAAGGTTTTCTTGGCTTCCATTCATGTCCTCTTGTCACCTGTGAGTTGCATCTTGTCAGGAACTCCTCAGTCAATGGCAACATGCCACCATGAAACATTAAGAGCATTGTAACCATGCCTCACTCCCCAATGGCAATAGTACAGCGAGAGCAGGTGGAGTCAGACCCTCTCAGGATATGGACATTGCCTTACTCTGTGGACAAGATGCTTGGCTTGTCGCACCTGCTCCAGCCAGTCGATCCAGCCTGCTAAAGGGGCTGCATATGGTGTTGCCATACTCCAAAAATGGTCAAACTACAGACTTGTATAGCCAACAGTAGTCTGGAGATGTCAAAGTGTCAATGTTGGCAAATGGCCAACTCATGATCCCAGCATCTGGTTGACCTTCAAAATCACCTCCAGCATCTACGTGAGGCGCTTACATCTGTAATCCATGAAAATTCTGAGATCTGTTTTGGGGACTGGGGATGCAATTTCTGTGCATCAATAAGTCAGTGGCCTTCAGTTGAAGCTGTGATGTGGATTACAGGTGAGGCTCGCTAAGGGACCTGGTTCATGCTGTATGCTACCAGGTGGCAGGTGGCCACCAGCCAGTGGCTACCACTTGAGCAGGGCATGGATGTTGACCTGTAGAGGCACAGTCAGCAGCCTGGGAACCTGACAGTACACCTTAGGGTAAACAGTGAACATCTTGATTGACACTTGATCAGGTAGATGGCTAATGAAAGATGAAGTGTGTTGGTCCCTGCATCCTTCCAGAGTTCATCCATGTCCTGGCATCCTTGTAGGATGCCTCTGATGATGTTGAGCTGAGATGAGATGAGATGATGTTTGAGCCCCAGCCCCACCCTCTGCCTGGTAGGTTGGGGAGGTCCTAATCCAGCATAGCAAGCAGGTAGAATTGCCATTCTGCCAGCACACCTGCTCCCACATGCAAGCATTGGGGGTTTTGCTGACAGCTTCCCTGCTCCTGTTTGGGTAGAGTCCTGTATGAAAACATCTCATTATGAGTGTCAGAGAGTGCCCTTTGCAATAAGCAGTAATGCTGTTGATGTCTTTGGGTGCCTTTAATGCACCTCATTCACATGTCTATCAAAGGAAACTGAAGCTTGTAGTGTGCATGGCAACCAAGGTGGCACCACAGTAGGCTGATTCTACCTGGTGCCTTCTTTATCACTGTGTTGTCCGGAAAGATTGGTTACTGCTCGTGAACCATGCAAATATGTAACATTAGACATGACCAGATGGGCCAGGCCGGGTCATGCCGGGCCAGGCAAGACTGAACATTGCCAGGTCTTACTTATAACTAGGGCTTGTTGGATTGGGTCAGGCCAGTCCAACTAGGGTGGGTCATGTTTTAGATGGGACTATTTTAAGTAGTGAGAAGCCTGAGCCAGTCCCGTCCCTACCCAGACTACACCATCCCAAGCCTCGGCCCCGGCCCCGTCCGTGCCTGGTGACGGCTGTGCGCTGCCAGTGCCCCGGAGTGGGCCTGCCTCCCGCTCGCTGTTTGTCTCAGCCGGCCGGGCGTGCCGGCCGACGGCTCACGGCGGCCCGAGTGACAGGGCCGCCGGCCGTGCGCAGCTGTCGGGACCGACGCACACCTGGCCGCCGCCGCCGCCGCCGGGCTCCGCTCACCTTCAGGGCGGCGCCAGGCGGCGGCGGCATTAGCCGGGCGGACGGGCCGCCGACGCGCCAGCTCCCGGCGCCGAGTCACGCGGCGGCGGCGCAGGGGAGCGGGCGCGGGGACGGTTCGGCGCCGCGTTACTGACCGTCCAGTGCCGGCACGGCGGTCTGACGGCCGTGGAGTGAATGGCGAGGTGCAGCCGCAAGTGACGCGATCTTTTGTGGGCTCGGAAAGACCGCTTTTCCGTCTTGGGAACGCAAGTGGCCAACCTGGTTTTTCTTCCGGTCATCGTCGCACCGACACCGCCCTGCGAGTCAGCGGTGGCGGCGGCGGCAGCAGCGGCTCGACCAGACAACAGCGATGACATGCGAGGCGGTGACGCGGTGCCGGGCTGACTGACCCCGCTGCTGACCGGGCCACAGTGCTGCCGGCGTGGCCGCTGCCGTGCGGTGGCCGCTGGGGTGCCGCTGCGGCGCGTGAGCTCGACACCGTCTGCGTGACCTCGTCCGCCATGTACCCGTCTGTCAACGGCACCTGGACCAAGGTCTGCCGCGGACGATGGAGGCGCGCGCGGGGGGGGGGGGGGGGGCGATACTTAGGTCTCGTAACGTCGCGTGAGGATGACAGGACGAGATTGTTTGTGATCTGGGTACTGTGAAATTGCCAGATCGCACGCACTGCTTAGCTGCGCACCTAGGACGGTGCTTTGTGGTGCGCTCGGCAGACGGACTTCTCTCCCTCCCCCCCCCCCCCCCCCCGCTTTTGATTGGATCGATGCGAGCAGGGTCGGCGCGCAACTAACCCGGACGGCGCGGGTCCCGCAGGTGTTCCGACCCGGGTGTTTTGTGAGACACCCACCGATCCATGATGGCTGTATGCACAGTACTGACGTGCGATCGGTGACATGGCAAGTGCTGTCGCTGGGGTGCGTATATGTGCTGGTCAGGGAGTGTTCACCTCGTAACGTCATGCTCGCGTTTCCAGCTGCACATCGCAGCCTTTCGAACGGGTTGCCGGACTTCGTGGTAAACAGAGCGGCTAAATATGCGCCTTAGTTGGCTTACACTGGATCAGCATAGAACACAGCGGGATACTTTCCTCGCTATGACAGAGACGAGACATTACATTCGGTCATCTCATCTGATCCCAGCATTTAACAGGATCCTCTACCACGGGAGATACCACGCTCGTTTTCTGAATTGCTACGTGCGTTACGGGTAGTTTTTTCTCCGAGCGTGGATGAGATCTTGCGCATACAGTACGGACTGTGCGTGCCTTTCTGCGGCTTGTGGCCACCGAGATAGCGAGACAGTGAAATTCCATGCTCGATTTCTGAATTATAATGTACGTTACGGGTGGCTTCTGTCCTAGCGTAGATGGAATCTTGTGCATACAGTACGGACTGCGCGTGCTTTATCGCGGTTTATGGCCGCCGAGATAGCCATAGGCGATCGTGTCCCGCCCGCTCCGACCGGCGGGTCTGTCCGGCAGCGGCTGATGATCTACCCGGAGGATGAGGAGGCGAACGGGCTGCGGGTGCCGCTGCGTCCGGTGGGCCAGCGCGGCTATGGCCTGGACCGCAACCGACGCTCGTCGGCCGAGGACTTCGGCTCGACCAGCGAGGAGGACGAGATGGTGCTGCACCCGCTGGAGAGCGTGCTCAAGCAGATCCGCGACAGGCGAGTCGAGCCGCGCGCCGCTGGCGACGACCGTGTGTGGGCGTGATGTGCCGGCGCGACTTTTGTCCGGTACGCTGTCTGCTGGGCTTCGGTGATGAACACTGGCAAACACGCGACGCACGGAACTCTTGCGGACAGATGAAGCGATAACGTGTGATGTACTGGTATTGACGATGGATGTAGCTGGCCACGCTTTTTATCGATTTGGCGAGGGCATGATGGTTTGAGCTCACTCGTCCACCATAGATTGGTTCTGCTTGCGACCACGTTGTAAGTCATTCGCAGACACGTACATTGGCGCTAGCTGTGACCCCCGGCGGCCCTCAGACCTGTGCAGCCTTCCTGCTGTGACACCTTTTCGTCCCTGAGACCCGTCTAATGGCGGCTGTTGTGACCCCTGTGCGTTTCCCCCAAGCCTGGCACCGCCACCCCTGGGGCGACTCCTGTCCTTTTCACGCAGTCGCGTCCAGCCTTCTCGCTGTGACGACCCCTGCCGGCTCGTCACAGGCCCGTGCAGCCGCGCCGGTGGGCGTACTGCTGCTCCGGCGTCATGTTTGCCGGCACCATCGGCCTGGTGGTGGGCTTCACTATGGCCTACGGCCTCTTCCTGTCGCTGGAGGCGCCGTGCGCCCACTCCCGCGTCTGGCTGATGGGCTCGCGCCACGTGCGCCAGCGACTGATGAGCGACGTCCGGCCGGAGAACATCGCCCAGACGCTCAGGTGGGTCCGGCGCGACGCCAGCGCCGGCTGGTGGTGGCGCTGGGAAGCGCGCGGCTTGGCAGGTGGTGGACGGGCCGGCCGGCGGCTGTGAGGCCGGTGCTAGGGTGTGCAAGGCCGGGTTGCTTCAGGCCGGGCAGGGATGACGCTGCTTTTTCGTGTTGATGCGACATGTGATGCGCTTTCCAGATCGAACGTGAACGTCGCATAACCAAACATATGCTGCCACCGGGAGGACGCCGAGCGCTTCTCCCGCCTGGGATAGGCTCAGTTTCGCCATTCCCAGAGAAGTTCGCTGATAAACTTTTTTTCGTTGCTAAACTAGTCGCGCTGGTGCGTTGACTTCCGCCTTTTGGTCGCTTTGGCTCAGGAGCCACACATTTTCACCCTTCCTACCTCGATTTTTGCTTCATGTCGCATCCTCGCCACGCCTTCTTCACCTGGAGCATGCCGCGGCCGTCAGGGTTTTGCAACCGGCATTCCAAGCCAAGTCGCCTTGGTTTGGAGTGTCGATCGGGCACCCCTCCCCCACCCCACTCCACCCCACACACACGCCGAGATCGGGCCTCTGTGCTGGGCAGGACTCGGTGCCGGTGATAACTCGGCAGAACTGTGGTGTTGTCCCACCGCTCGCCCATCATCCGTAGTCCTATGGGTCTGAACGGATCTGTCGTGGTCACACGAGTTCTGACGTGACAAATGACAGAGCTGGACAAGGGATCGAGAGCTGCGGGCGATGGAGTGGGCTGGGCAGGCATCGCGCCGTCCGTCGCTGGACCAGTTCTTCAAGCGACGGGAGGGCTTCTCTGGGCTCCTCGAACAAGAGTGCCGTGCGGGGTTTAGAGCCGGCGGTGTCGCGCGATGAGTTCCGGACGCCGCGGACGGTGAGGGGCGCGCGCCGGCGGCGAGGCCTGGCGCCCTGCTCTGACACACCGGTCCGACCCCCGCGGACCCGGCCGGTCTCGCCGCCTGCTGTGGACTGGCCTAGGGTGGCCACAGGCGTGCGGTCTGCTCAGGGATCGGCGTTGCGATTGGGATGGCGAGATTGTGCGTAGAACTGCGGGCGCATGTACCTTTTCTGGTGAGACATGTGACGGCATGTCCGCTGAGCCGGGGTGGCGCTACAGTCGTCCGGCGTGCCGGTCGGAACACCTCCTGGCTCCTGATGGTCTGTGGAAGACGCAGCGGCGCCGCCACGTCAACCCGGTGTACCCCCGTAGGTCAGCGTAGGTCGCGTGTACGGCACCGCCATGTCAACCCGCGTAGGTCCTTTCTGGTGAGACAATTGGCTGGGTTCGTATGGCCTGCCGACCTGGACATGCGTTCTGTTGGAACACCAACGAGTACCGTGGAGGCCATGGTTTTGTTTATCCACCGGCCCGTGAGATGCCGTTCGGTGGCCGATGCTGTCAGAAAGCTCCGTTTCCGTGGGTTTTCCGAAGTTTCGAACGGCGCTGCTTGAAATAATACTGTGTTTGGTCGGCACCCTGAAACGCTAGCAAAGCGGTCCAATTTGACCCGCTGAGCAAGGCAAGCTTCGACACCTTAATGTGTTAAGGCTTCATTCGAACGACCTTTGCGGCCTTACCGGGGACTTTGGCGCCAAAATTATAACGAGGACTCATTTTTGTACATTTTTTTGTCTGCGAAATTTACGGGAGCTCACCCCTGTCGTAATTGGTAAGATGATGACAAGCGTTGGCCATGTTTTGCGATCGAAGCGCAGTCTAGCTTACTTTGTGAGTGGTCTGACTTTCAAAAGCAACCCTAATTTTCGACTCTCATCATACTATTTTATCAGCGATTTTGAATTTTATGTCGTCGGATCATGGGGTCCCCAGGCTGATAGCGGCTAGCGAAACCGCATATCATTGGTCGAGTGGTGCGGACCCAAGTTGAACGCGATAGCTGGTTCTCTGAAATGGAGATAACTGGAGAGGCGGTGGTGGAGCAGTCTTGCCGTAACTGGCTGTTGTTTTAGTTCGTTTTGTTGTTTGTTGTCTCAACAGTACGCGCAGCTACGGCTGATGTGTCGGTTACGAACTGCTCTTACTTCCAACTGTGAGCTAAGATCGCGCAGGTTATCGAGCTATTTGGACGCCATCGTCGACGTCGGGTACCTTTGAACGGGCAGTATCCGCATCTGAACGTCCGGACGTGTACCGCGATGTCCGTGTTGAAACTGACAGGACACTACAAGGCGACTGTCGCTCGTTTTTCCGGGGATGACCGGTATGTATTGTCCAGACGTCGCGTGCCATTGCGTTTAACACTGAGTCTTGTCAGGCTTGTGAGGATGGACGTGATGGAAGGTGCCAGGGGATAATTCAGCATACATGTTATTCTATGGCATGATATGACTTTAACTTTCTTGTGGATAGTGGAGAAACAATCTTCCCAGAAAATCGGGACAATGCGGTGAAAAATGAAGACTTGAGGTGAACTGTTGTCATGTTAAAAAGTTTTAGACTGAGCCTCACAAAACCCTATTTCCTCCTGCGGCGGTTCAAGAGACACCAACAAGAGCTGTCGGTCAGCACAGGTGTGCCACAGGCCAGTGGCTTACACGAAGGAGCGTGCTTGGAGGTCATTCGTCTTCCCTTCTCCCTCCCCCCTCAGAGGGGGCGAACGCCGTTGAAGCACCGGACGCTTGCTTTTACTACTGCCATGTACTCGTAGGGCGTCTACCATTGTCGTGAGTTAACTATTTCAAATGGAAATCATGGGACAGAACGGCCACCACTGGCATTAGAACAGCCTAAGGGGACCAAAAAGCGCTCCAAACTATACCGGTGGCGCGAGAGGAAGGGGGGGGGGGGGGGTCGGAACTAGGTAGAAGCGATTGCTCTGGGCAGGATCTAGAAATCCGAAAATAGCCCGGTGAGCTAGAGAAAATTCGTTTCAGCCTTGTCATGGGCGAGGCATTCCAGCTGCGAGAAGGGCTGGGAATATTTGAGCTACAGTTCGCAGTGCTCCTCTGCTGTTCAGTGAGTGGATCCGCCCGACCTTCCGTTAATTGAGGCTGTGGGGTGACCGGGCCCGGCCGGGGTCCCCGGCATCTCCGCTGAGCCGGGGTGGCGCCACCGTCGTCCGGCGTGCCGGTCGGAACACCTCCTGGCTCCTGATGGCCTGTGGAACAAGCAGCGGCGCCGCCATGTCGACCCGGCCGGTCCGACCGGCGCTGTGAGGGGCGGGCGGCTGTCGTTGGGCGGTGGTCTGCAGGAGCTCGCTCCGGGCGCGGGACGGGTCCAGCCTGAGAGTCATGCCCATGAACAGCAGCTGCTGCCGCGCTTCAGCTGCTGTGTCAGACAGCGGAGGCAGCACCGCACGCATGCACAGACATGCGTTAGTGATTAGGTGTATAAAAGCGCACGTTGCCAAGGCAAGGCGGCAACCTCTCGCTCACTAGCAGCCGTCATCGGAGCGCTTCCGCGAATCCGCGCGGACGGATGAATAGCCGGCCGCCGGCTCGGGGAGCCGAGATGGCGCGCTCGGCGTGTGTCACGGCTCGGTCGAAGATCAAATAGCCTACACCATGAGCTCGCTTTGTTTGTAGGGTGGGTGTTGCAAATGTTCCAAAAGTTTCCTTGACTGAGGTGCTACAATCAGTTGTGCCTTCTCGTCGTTATTTTATTGGTGTTTTCCCTTTTCCTTGGCATTTTTCCGACGCATGTGTTGCGACCTGCCTGACACGATTGCCACCACTCTGCTCGGCTCCCGTGCTGACTGGCAGCGATAGGCCGACCTCAGTGATTCCACCTCCCCGACGCAATCTTTGCCAGGTTCCGATACGATGTCTGCCATCTCCTCGACGCACTCGTGACCGCCTCCGCGACAAAACTGCTGCCAATCCGCGACAGAGGCGCTGCTGTCTCCCCGACACAAACGCTTCGTCTCCCCGACACAAGTGCTACCGTCTCCCCGACACAAGTGCTACCGTCTCCCCGACACAGGCGCTGCCAGTCCGCGACACAGGCGCTGCCGTCTCCCCGACACAGGCGCTGCCGTCTCCCCGACACAAGTGCTGCCGTCTCCTCGACACATTTGCCGCCAACTCGCCGACGCCATCACTGTCACTGCCAACTTGCCGAAACCACTGCTGCCAACTCGCCGACACCATTGCTGCCAACTCGCCGACACAATGGTTGACACCTTCACGACGCCTGGGACACGAGCGAGGCCAACTCCACGATACAGTGGGTGCCAGGTTTGCGAGGCAAGTGTTGACAGCGGCGCGACACAGGTGCTGCCAGTCGGGCGCCGAGCGGCGCGCGGCCGCGTGCTCCGCCCGCCGCCGCCGGCCGGCCAACAACAACAGCGGCCGCCTCTGACGCCGCCGCGGCTCCCGCAGGCCTCTCGCCCTCGCGCCGAACCCCTCCCCGTGCCCGCCGCCGCGCTCGGCGGCGCCGGACTGTTCTGTCGGCCGCCGCCCGCCGGCCGCGCCGTGCTCCCGTACCTGGCGCGCCGTGCTCCGTTACCCGGCTGTGCTCCGCGACCCTCCTGACGCGTGCTCGTGGACCCAGCGGGTCGTGCTGCGTGACGGGGCGTGGTTTGTGATACGATAGCGGTGTGCTTTGTGACGCGGTTGTGGCGTGTTTCGTCGCGCGCCGGGGACGTCCTAAATTTCCTGGAGAATATCGAGCAGGTGACTTTCTGATGACGACAGGGTTTGAGTGAGGAGGGGGAGGGGATGTGCGGGACCGCTCCGACTGCTCGTTCGACCAGCAGCCGGACACAGCCAGTGTGGGAGGGTTAGCTGGTAAAGATCGCGCTGTTGCATTGTTGACCAAGCTAGACCTTCGCTGGGAGTGGTGCCAAAGCAGCCGTGGTTGTCTTGATTAAATGTTTTTACCAACAACATCGACAGCGATCACACGGGGCGTTAGGTGGTGACGTGTACCTGTTTTCGGCAACCTGTCGATGTAACACAAACTATAATCTCAGAAAGGTGTCTGAAAACAAATAAGGGACGGGAAAATGAGGGAAAACGGACAGCTGAGTTA